TTCCCTCTTCTATGAGTGCACATACAACTCTACTTACAGCATAGAAATCTTATAATTAAAAAAAAAGTTGGACAGGACCAGCCGTTGGCATAATGGCTATGTTGCTGGACTCCCATATAGTTAGAGTCCCAGACCTGGTGGCTTAAACTCACACCGGGTGCGTGTGCATGCGTGCCCAAGATCCTGAGAGGAGAATGGAGGAGCAAGGATTGTGGTGTGGCCATCCCCCCTGGGGCGGTTGATTTCTTGCTTTCTGGCTCTGTCTCTCTCTGTCTTTCTGGCAAGTCATGAGCCCTATAGCAAAAAACTCTCCAAAACAAACAAACAAAAAATTGATTTCTTTGAAATCACTTATAAATAATTTTCTCCACTGTGCCTTCACTTAGAAACATCAATAGTACTAGTCAATTTTTTCTCACTATTTACATAATATCTAACAGATACGTTTTAGGATTCAGAGAGTTGCAATGGGATGGGGTACATTTTGAGAAGTTATATTGATTTGTATGTTAAGTTAGAAGCTTATTTAAATATAATCTTCTTTTTAATGTGGATAAAATCCACTGCTTTTTTTTTTCCTTAGGAGAGAAATAGATAAACTTAACAATCTAAGTGCTCACTACGTTACAACAATAGAACATGCAAATGTTAGTGTAGAAGCCACTGAAGAGGCAGTTACTGAAGTACTGAAGGAAGCAAAGACATCATCAGATGAATTATCTACTTTATCAAAAACGGTGAGTTTTTCATGTTTAAACTTTTTTAAATACTTATTTTAGCATTAAGCCATAAATAGTAAGACGTTCAGTCAATACTTAATCAGCACTTAGATAATCTTAGGCCATTATTAGTCTCTTTTGTTGCATACCAAATTAAGCACAACTTTAGCAATTTCAAACAACAACTATTTATTATCATTTGTCTGAATCAGGAAGTCTGGGCACTGGATGGCTTAGCTGTGTCCTCTGGTCTGAGACCAGGAAGACTGACATCAAGGTGTCAGTATCCTTCCATTTCTTTCTGAAGACTCCAGGACAAACCTGTGCTTTCAGTTTTATTCTGTTTTGACAAGACTCAGTTCTTGGTTTTAGAATTGAAGCCCTTGTTTCCTGGGCAGCTCTCAGCTATCACTTTAAGTCTGTAGAGGTTGCCTGCATTCCAGACTGGTGGTTCCTATAAGTCTCTAAAACCAGCAATGGTGTGTGGAGTCCTTCTCAGGACCATCCCGTTAGGTGGTGATTTCTCACTTTTTGTCTCTTTGTCTCTATCTCTCTGGTGAGCACACGTACCCCATAGCAAAAGTCTCTCCAGAAAAAAAAATCCTCATTAATAAAATATTTTTATTTTTTATTTTAGTTTTTCAGAGATTTTTGTTATATGTCTCATGCACTTGCTGGAGAGACAGAGAGAGACAGAGAGAAAGAAAGAAATCACTCTCCCAGGGGGATGACCACATTGCTCTCCTTTCTCCTCCATTTTCCTCTCAGGATTTTGGGCATGCACACATATGTGCTAGAGTGTTTCAAGCCTCCGGTTTTGGAATTCAAACTGTAGTCGGCCATGTGGGAGTCCAGCAATGTAACTGTTAACACCATCTGTTGGTCCCAATAAAATATTTTTAAAGCAGTAAAGTTCATTCACTGAACTTATGGTCATTTTAAATTTTTTTATTTGATTCTCTCTAAGTGACAAGTCTGTCCCTTCTTAATCTGATGTCATACAGAATACTATTTTTGATAAATTATAAATGTGTTTAGAAGGTTAGTAATATGTTTCAATTATAGAAATCATTTGGGGACCATCATACTTACTAGGGAAGATGAAAACATGATGAAGTTTAGATATATTAATTTTTTCTGCATTTTGCTCATTATAAAAACCTTTAAGCTAGAATCAAAGAGCTCATGTTAAGCACTCAATTAAAAGCAATGATGTGCATCGTTGCCATGCATTATTTTTTGGTATGCAATAGAAACTTTTAGTTCAAGAGAAAAATAAAAGATTTGTGCTGCCTACTTGCACATACAACTTAACTGTTTTTTTTTTTAAATTTCAAGACATATTGTGCTTTCAATTTAGAGTGTTTACCTCATTAACATACACTTTTCTCCAATTTAGATTGTCCTTGAAACTAGAAATACATTTTTTTCTTTTTTATTTCTACATTGATGGTTTTTTTAAAAAAAAAAGTCATAAAATTGGTTAAGCACTTAAAATGTTAGGATTGATTTCATTTTATCTTTTACATTTTTGCCATAGGATGCAAGTGCTCACCAGAGAGAGACAAAGAGACAGTGAGAGAAAAAGTGAGAAATCACCCCTCTAGGGGGGATGGCCATGCAATAATATCTTCTCCTACATTATCCTCTTGGAATTCTGTGTATGCACGCACATGCATATGGGACTCTATCCTCCATCAGCCATGTCATAGTCCAGTGCCTTAACCACCAAGCCACCTGGGGCCCCAAGATAGAATTCTTTTTAAATGTAAAATGAAACTTGTCTATACATTCCTCTTCCAAGTTTACTTTATAATCTGCCTCTCCCATAGTTCAGAATTTATTTTTGGAAAAATCATTCCATTATCTCCAACTGTTAGGTTCTTGTAATATAAAAAGTTCTCTACATTTTATTTTATAATTTCAAAAGATAATAAACACTTTTAAGAATTTAAAAATATTAATGATTTTTATATTTTACTGAATAATGACATAAGTACACAAAATTTTTTGTTGTTATTTTGTAGATAAAATTGCAAATGAATGGTTTCCTTTTGTATAAAAGCTGGTGTTTTACAATATTTGAATATTATTCTTTTTGTTACAAAGTTAATTATTATGGCTAACTTAGTGGCCTTTATATTAGATAATATGAATCCAAACACTACAAAATAGTCACCCAGCTATGCTTTTTGATTCATATTTTTGCATTAAAATCTTTCAAATGAAGCAGCTTCCTTCTCCAGAAAAGACAATAATAATTATTACTACTATTAATTGATCAAATAGGAAACCAGTCTAGAAAGGTTGCAGGATTATTTTTACCAACATAAAGATAATAAGTGATAGAGTTATTTATAACGCAGTTTTGGACTATTGAAAATAATTTTATTACAAAATATTCATAATTTTTACAGATAAAACATGATAACTTATATAAAAGTATATGTGGCTAACTTTTTCCACCAAAGAATTTAATCTATTTTTATGTGTATATTTTATTTTGTGACATATATATAAAATGTTGACATCTATGAAATCAGCTTTTGTTATATTTTTAAAGAAATGTTTAACGTTATCTGTATATTGATTTCTTTCACATGTTTATTACCATATTAAAGGTTCTTAATAATATACTCATATTATAAAAACATTTTTTAGAAATAAATATTTATTTACAGAAAATGCTTTGTTAGCATCTGTGAAGATGAATTTAAAGAGTTTCTCATTTGACCTATTGAAATGATGTATTATATTAATATTAAACCATTATTAAATTCATTGGATGAACTCTGCTTGGTTATGGTTTATTGTTCTTTTAATTTACTGCTGAGTTTGATTTGCAAGTATTTTATTTAAGATTTTGGCATCCATATTCATAAGTAAGACTATTCCAGTGTTCTTTATTTTGTGCTATATTTGATAGATTTTTCTTATCAGGATTATGCTAGCTTTATAAAATTAATTTTGAAGCTTTTCTTCTTTTCTTATTACTTGGAGGCAATATATTATTTCTTGAAAATTTGATAAAACACCTTGGTAACAATATAGTCTTTTTTTTTTTCCTTTTCATCATTGGAATAATTACTTTTCCCATAGGTATCTGTTTATTTGTTCATATGACTGTCTTATCAGGCTACATATTTCTTCTTAAGGTTTATTTGTAATTTTTTAATAGTCCAGGAAATAATCTAAATGGATTATATTTTCAAATATGTTACTGCAATATGATACAAAATGTTCTCTTACACTTTTGCTGTATCTCCTAAATGTATATTTTAACCTCTTTAATGGGGTCTCAAATTTTTAAATATTAATATTTTTCTAAAAATAAGAATGCTCTTGGACTTAATAATTCTAACATTTTCTGACCTCTAACATATTAACATGTGCTTATTTATTTATTTTTTTAGGCTTTTGCCATAGGGCCCATGTGTTCATTGGAGAGAGAGAGAGAGGGAAAGTAAGAAACCACTCCTCAAGGGAGGATGGCCACATCACAATCCCTTCTTCTCTTTGGTTTTTGGACACACAAACACACACCTGCCGTGATTATCAAGTTGCCAGGTCCAGGACTTGAACCATGGTTGGCCATGTAGGAGTTCAGCCACTACACTACTACACTGCCTGCTAGTCTAACATATGCTTTTATTATTATAATTTTCTGCTTGCTTCTTTAAGCTTATCCTTTTTACTTTTCACTTCCCTGTTTTGCATACATAATGTTTAAACATACGGAAATCTATATTTACAAGGTGTGTATATATATATATATGTATGTATATACTATATAGAAAATATATACATATGTGATACATACAAATATTTGTTTAGTTTACATACTGCATATATATCATGAGGTATACATTTATGTATATGTGATATATACATATATACATACATGTATATATACACACAGACATAATATATATGTATATAAATTTATGTGTGTATATACACACATATATATGTTGTAAATACCCACACTCTCTCTCTCTCACACACACACACACACACACACACACACACACACACACACGTACATATGTATGTATTTCTTTCCTTGAAAGCTACAGTTAAATTTCTAGTTACAATTTTTGGCTACCTCCAGGTGTTTAGGAATAGGTGCCTGTGAGTTTTCAGCAATACTCTGGTGTTTCTTCCTAATGCATGGATTTGATTGAAGTGATGAAATATGTGCCCAGAAGAATTTGTCCTTCTTTGCTACTTGGGTCTATATTGGTCAACTTTCTAGTGCATCTACTAGTCTACATTGAAATGTGGCAGGGTTCTCTTTGCTGTAAGTGAACTTTCATACCCTATCATGGTTCACTGGCTTGATTAGAGATTTATTCATCCCTTCCACTAAGCAAGCATATGTGGTTTTCCTGAGCCACAAGCCTTGGGTCTCGAAAGTCCCAGTGTGGGTTTTTCTTGGGAAAGGCATCTCCACATATCCTATAAATTCCCTTTTGGCCATCCCTGGCATGCTGGACAGCTTGAGAATCAGCAAACTCTCTGGCTGTTAGAATTATCCTGTATTTCTTCTGGGGTACAAGTAGAGAGGAAGTCTTGGCTGTCTACGAAGGACTAAGCTAAGCAGACAAACACTTTTATGAATTTCTATGGGTGTTTTGAGAACCTTCTAACTTCTGAACTGCTGTCTACAGAGTGCCAAGTCTATCATGGAGAAAGGGATCTAGATTGGAACCAGTCTTCTGTCTCCATCCAGGACTTGGCTTAGTGGACAATGCTTACTGCGCTTCTATTGGTTGCAAGGTCCCCACATAGTGTGATTCTTCCTGGGCCAGGTTTCACTGGGCTAAGTCTAACTGCTTGCTCGATTAGGGAGGCAAACTCAGAGTAGGAGCTGAGGGACTGGATCCTTTAGATGAGTGTTCTACCTCAGGGATTTTTGCCAATGGGGTCCTCATGTGATGTCCCTCCTTGTGAACTATAGTCTGGGCAAACCCATTCTCTAGCACTTCCCACAGTTTGGTCATCAAGGATGTCTGGTT